GCCCCATAACATAACATATTGATTTGTAAATAATTAAAGTGAATCTGAACACACACCCTGTTTGGACCCACTTCAGATTTTATTTGCAAATTTACTACCTTGCTCATCTCTAGTTTTGCTCATTTTTGGTGTACATGAATCGGGATACTACTGTATGTACAAGCAATATGTACAAGCAAACCTGTTTAATGACCCGGGAGCTAAAGGTTAAAAATAAAAATATTTTTAAAATTTAATATTCGTTTTGATGGAAATTTATATTTTTAAAAGAATATGTTTTGATAGTCATAGAAGAAAATGTATTTGAAAACACTTTGATGAAAGTGTATGGGTTTATAAGAGAAAATCTATAAAAATTTTGTTGAATATAAAATAATATTATGATAGAAAAAGTACTAAAATTTTGAGATGCATTTAAGTTAACTTTTACATTGTTATACAAGGATTACGTAATGCATTAAAATAAGATCCTCGACTCACAAATCAAATGTATTTCCAGACAATTAAGACATTTGTTTAGTGTTTAAGATTTTGTTTATATTTATGGAAAAATATTTTTATTAAAACGCGAATCACTAATAAAGTGATGCACTCTTTATGCTCTACTAATAAAACAAAAGCATTTTGAACTAAAACTCTTTGATTGTAATTGTATTCATTGTGGAAATCGTCAAAACGCATGAAAACCTTTTGGTTTTATAAAAGGGATAAAACAATTGAGAGAATTGTCTTCTTTCGCTAAAACCTAAACTAAATTCACGAATAGATAGAGAAATACTGTATTCAGTGTTAGTCTGTCTAAAACATTATTCTGGTATTCATTTTGTTTCGCTTATGACAAGAAAAAGATAGAAATTCATTAAATTAATGCTTGACATAAGCGTAGAGAACATGGATTTGTAGTTTTGTTGGATATTTTTAGTCAAAATTAATGAGAAAACTCTAACATTTAACATAAATCAGTGGAAATACTAATGGAATTACAGTTGAAAACAGGTTTTAGTGGAGTTTCTAAAACACAATTATTTTGTTTTGTTATTTAAATCACTGAAAAACTGTAATAACAGGCAATGCATATACAGTGTATGAAAAGTGAATAAATCTTTTATCATTGAGTTCTGATGAATGTTAAAAAGCGGATTAACTTTTAAAAATGTTAACTAAGCCATAGTCCGCATCACAATTGCTTATTCAATGCCATAGATTTAAACAGTTTTCTGCTCTCAAAACTTTTCAGGAAATTTATGTCATTTTTCAAATATAAACTTCTTTTATTTCATTGACTTAAGTGGGCTCTCAAATGGTTCACAAACTATTAAAATTTTAAATTATACTTTCAATAAACTCAATCTTATATCAATACTTATATACGAAATATATATAAAAAAATTTCATTAAACATTTGATAAATTCTTGTTAAAAATATTTAAAGAATTTAATCTAATTTAAAATTATTATACATATAATAGAAAATTGAAAATACCTTTGATTTCTATATTTAATGTTCATTGCGAGGAAGACACAGGCCATGACTATACCACAGATGGCCAGCACTGATATCACGACAAATAATGTGATACTTATTCTGGACGGCGACAGAATCAATGTTGTGCGGTCTCGAGGAGGCGTCCAACTCCCTATCAAAACACATGGTAACACATCATATTTATTAGTTATTTACGCACATTCTTTATCCGACTGTTTTTACATTTATTTATTTATTTCGTTATAAAATAGAGTGCATATAATTTATAATTTAATTTAAAAGTCGTTTTCAGTATCCATTTTAGCGAAACAGTGTTTCCAGTAATTTTCAAAATGAAAAAATATTTCGATTTTTGTGTGGTTTTGTGTTTTGTATTTAAATTTATGTTAAAAATGTTTTATATTTGAATGCAATGAATAAATGTTTAGAAAGCATTTAAATTAATCGATTAAATAAAATAACAATCACTTTGTGTAGTATTTTTACATTCATTTGGAGATAAAATTGCAAATGTTAGTCAGTCTTATAAATTACAACAATTATGTTTTAAAACAAACGTTTAAATTAATTGATAAAAATGTCGATAATGTTTGATAAAATGTATTTTTATAACAATCTGTAAATGTTGTTAAATACAGTGTTTAATTAATCATGATTAAAATTTCGTTAAATTATTATAAATAAAAATCAGTTTGCATTAAAATATTATTATTTTTCTGTTTAACATATGATTATTGCACTAAATTATCGATTTTGTTTAAAAAAATAGTAAAAATGTGTTAAATTGTGAGACTATTACTCTTAAAAGTATTTAATTTATTTTTGTTTTGATAGCAAAGCTCTGAAATATGCAAAAAAGAAGTAATATTTTAAAATTTAAATAAAAAAAGTTCATTTCTTGCAAATTTTTTGTAAGCATTACAGATATCTTCTTTTGCATTCTTGACTAAATCCTCTAAATATACAGAATATAACTTATATAACGTAATGAATATATTTAATGACTTTTTTTTAAGAAAAACTACATTATTTTGATAATAACTACAAGTTATGATATATATATTTGAGTGAATTTTATGTTAAAAATGTTTTATATTTGAATGCAATGAATAAATGTTTAGAAAGCATTTAAATTAATCGATTAAATAAAATAACAATCACTTTGTGTAGTATTTTTACATTCATTTGGAGATAAAATTGAAAATGTTAGTCAGTCTTATAAATTACAACAATTATGTTTTAAAACAATCGTTTAAATTAATTGATAAAAATGTCGATAATATTGTACATCCTTTTGATAAAATGTATTTTTATAACAATCTGTAAATGTTGTTAAATACAGTGTTTAATTAATCATGATTAAAATTTCGTTAAATCATTATAAATAAAAATCAGTTTGCATTAAAATATTATTATTTTTCTGTTTAACATATGATTATTGCACTAAATTATCGATTTTGTTAAAAGAAATAGTAAAAATGTGTTAAATTGTGAGACTATTACTCTTAAAAGTATTTAATCTATTTTTGTTTTGATAGCAAAGCTCTGAAATATGCAAAAAGAAGTAATATTTTAAAATTTAAATAAAAAAAGTTCATTTCTTGCAAATTTTTTTGTAAGCATTACAGATATCTTCCTTTGCATTCTTTACTAAATCCTCTAAATATACAGAATATAACTTATATAACGTAATGAATATATTTAATGACTTTTTTTTAAGAAAAACTACATTATTTTGATAATAACTACAAGTTATGATATATATATTTGAGTGAATGAGCAAAGCATTTAAGATAATGGGTCAGCCTTTTCATGTGCCAAACAAATAGATCCCAACGGAGTTGTGAGTCGATTGTAAGACTTGATCACTAACTCTTGTCCTCCAGAAAATGTGGCAAAAAACTCATTGCATTCACAAAATGACACTCTCTTTAGTTGAAGGCATATATTTACTAAACACTATCTCTCTTTCCCCTTAAAGGAAACGTATAGTAGAGTTAAAATGCGATCAAAAGAAACTGTTTGGCAAACTATGTGACACTGATTTGATGAAGTATTCAAAATAAAAGTAAATATAAATAGGGATTGAAAGTGCAAAACAAATGGTTTTACTTTAAAGCATTAATGTCTCTGTTATTTGTTGTCCACAAAATTTGTCCCTTTTTTATGGTTAAGTCAAATATTTTATTCGCACACAAAAAAAAAGTAAAGGAAATCTTTCCGGAGTTTTATGGTTTAAATTGTAAAATAAAAATAAAATTTATATTAAAATTTATTTGAAACAAAAATATAAGCGGAATGTAATTATCTCTCTAACCAATTAAATAAATTAAATACTAATTAATCATAGTATTTAATCGTAGTATCAATTTAATATTCTAAGAATTTGTAATAAGCTAAATTTAATACAAAATTTTTGCGCAAAACATTTTGCATATAAATATTAAGGTCACTGTCATTAATTTGTTAAATTATATATTATGGTATTATTCACCTTTATGCCTTGCTTATATCTCATGAATAAACGAGATTAATTAATATATTTATAGCAAATATATATATATATATTTATTTAAAATGACAAATTAGGCCAATAATGGACTTAAAGAGTTTATAATTAGTATTAATAATTATAATTTATTTGATGGACAAATATTTTAACAATGCATACAATTATAAAGTAAAGTAAAGTTTTATATTTTGTACAAAACATACAACTGTAGACTCAATCGTTATTTACAGCAATCATTTTGCCTGCAAAGACACTTCCCTGCATAGCCTTAGAGCACAAACACATTGTCTCAAGTTTTCAACTAATTATACATTTGAGTGGAAATCAGAGCACAAGATATAGTGAAAGGGATTTCACTTTAAGGAAAAGGCAATAATATTTAGAGCAAAGTTTGGGATTCTGTGGGTATATTTGGGTTCAATTTATTGATGATTGCAATCCTTTGAAATGTCAAATGTCTTAAGTGTCACAAATCAGAGTAAAACCACTTCCGCGAAGAATTCACTTTTAGCGACAAAACATTTACACCAAAAACCATTTGAAAGGAACCAATATTTATGAATTTAGTTCACATCAAACTGTTTTCACATTTCTGCCAAATTGAATGCCTTTTTTGCCTCGAGTTTAATAAAATTCTCAATAATTGTAATCAATTGCGAATTAAACATCATTTCTACTCAATTTAATAGAAAATTGTTTGAATAAAAGTGTGAGTTTCACATCAAAATGTTTTAATCATAAATATTGTAGTTTTATATCTAATTTTGTTGGTGTGATCCGCAAGAAGAGTATTGCTATAAATGTAATCTAATTATTGAAAACATAATTTAATTAACCAAAAACTTCATTCAATAATAACACTTCACTTTAGACTCAAAACTAAAAATAACAAATATATCATTTAAAGATTATGTTTGGCTAATGTTTTGACAGTATTTGATATTATAATGACTTAAAAAATTAATTGAAAGTAATAAATGTAATGCAAATACCTCTCCAAGAAATTGGGGCGCCTTTGAAATCTAATGCATCGGAATATGTGATGTATTCACCGATTTTGTACTCTTTTTGGCCTAAAAGCACAAATTGAACCATTAGTTTATTTTTAATGCCAACAACTTATCAAATCAATTGAATATAATATATCTATCATAACAACAGATGGAAAAGTAGCCAAACCTTGGAATTGCTTGAGAAGTACAACACCTCTTCTCTCGTTCTTATCAAAGCTGACGCGACCCTAAAAACATGGCTTTTGTTAGAATTACATTTTCATTTACTTTAATGTTCTGTGACCTCATAGCTCTCTCTCTCTCTCTCTCTCTCTCTCTCTCTCTCTCGTAACACATTTTTCGTATTAAGTTTATGGTCTGAATTTGCATTCATATGTCGTTTATTTAACAATTCATTTTATCAAAATGAGAACTTACAGTAACGCCATTGAATTGTGTCTCATTGAGTGCCTCTTTGAATAGTTGTGCCCAAAATGTATCCCTATATCGAAAGTCTTTGAGAGTGAGGGAAGAGCTCATGGATCTGAGCTTCTCGTGGACCGACCGGACGGCGAAAGCGATCGCCCAAATGCCGTCGTAAGCGTACCCGTGAAACCGACTGTACTCTGAGCCTCTCATCCGCGTGTATTCGGCCTCATATTCGTATGTCGTCTATGAAAAAGTCAATTACAGTCCACTCTCTTTCGCAATATATGCTTTGCTTTATAAAACATTAAACAAAATCTCTGATTCATATAAAAAATCTCATAAATATGATTATTCTATGTCTCTATTCAATCAATTGATCACATATTCACTAATCAATACACATATCTCTTTAAATATTAATAAACAGAAATAATTAAATAGAAATAAATTGACTCTAAATGAAAACATATCTGTATTTCGCAATAAAATGACACGAAATAAATGTAAAAATGTAAGCGAAGACAACATACGAGTCCGAAATCAGTGGTTTGGGAACTCGTGAGCGGAAGCACATCAGTGGCGATATAGCCGTCCAGAGCTGCCATCAGCTCCTCTTTACTACAGTCCAAATTGTGTACGTTTTGCCACCACTTGTCCTCATACAGACCCGACACAATCCATTGATACCTTCTTCCATAGAGACCCTCTTTATATGCCTTTAAGAAATGCAAACAAATTGTTTAATACTTATTGTATTTGCATTAAACAAATAAATGATTAAATTTAATCTAAAATGTATACAATAATTGCATAAATGTTTATCCGTTGTTTAAATATCAAGTCTACGGTATGTGACATAACTATGCCATACAATACTGCGATACAGCCAAATGTTCACTCAATTGTAGACCAAAAACATTGCAAATAATTTTTAATCAAATTAATTGTCGGTGTTTTTAATGCACGAAACTATAGTATGACGTATTTTATCCCTTCATGAATCAATCACATAATTTAAATCCAATATAATCTGTCAAATAAGTGTATCATGATTGACTCGTTTATATATCATTTTATTACATTTAGTAGTTAAAAATATTAGCAAAAATTATAATAATTTAACCTTTTTAAAAATAGATACGCCTTTGAAAGTCAATTAAGATGCTACCAAAAGTATTTATATTTGAATAGTTACTGTTCAATTAGCAATATTAAAATATTAAACACATATAAAATAATTAATTAAATAAATCAAACGACAAATTTGCTGTAAAATACATAATATTTTATTTAAATAATAGTCAATTATAGAGATTTAACGCTAAATAGTTATATAACGTGTCAACACATTAGGGCATTGATTCAATTAGAGTTTCTATTAAATTATTTTTCAGTTATTAATAGTAAAGCATAATATTCTTATGGATCCAAATACATGGCTGCAAATGTATGGTCACATCTGCAACCATCCGCAACAACACCAATAATAAGCATTACA